CTGGCTTTGGAATAGTTGTGATTATTGATTGTAGCATTTCAGAAGGAAATTCCCCTGTAGAGGCAACATGGTTGTATAGGACAGTTAGATGTGGTGTAAGATTGGGTGCGAATGTTTTGTAGAATTCGTTAGTGAAACCATCATTTCCTGGTGATTTGTTTAGAGGTAGGGTTTTTATAGTTTTTCCTACCTCTACAGGTGAAATCGGTATGGAGAGAGATGTGAGTTGAGATGGTGTGAGTCAAGGAAGGTTGATGGTAGCTAGGAAGTTTTGAATGGATATAATTGTCGGTTGGGTTGTGTTTGGGTCATCTTTAATATTGTATAAATTTTGGTAATAGGTCGCAAAAGCGTTGGCTATATCTTGCGGGTTTGTAAGCGGGGTGTGCGTGGTTGGGTGTAGGATTGTGGAGATTTTAGATTTAAGCCATTTTTTGTTTAATCATTTTCGTTAGGAGTGAGTTTGCTTTGTTACCGATTTTGTTTTTTTGGAGGTTAATGTCATATTTGTGGAGTAAGATGATAGTGTATAGCTTGTGGTAAAATTGCATCTGATTGCTATTAGGACCGTAGATATTTGCTAGAGTGTAGATAACGTCATTTATTTGGCAAACTAGAATATGGTAGCGACTGTGAGGGTCGGCGATTTCTGAAATGATTCGGAATTGAACAGAGTCTCTTATGGCTGTAATGACACCATTCTTTTTCTTGAGATTAGTAGCCATATAGATTTGTGAAAATCGATGGAGTTGTAGCCTGGGGGTCTTGTTTGTAGTGAAGTGGGTTTCCTGTAGGAAAAGTATGTCGGCCTGGAACTTTCTGGTTTTTTTTTTTGAAGCATCGATCTTTTGAAGGGAGAATTTAAGCCACGTTATATTAATCATTGTTAAAATCTCTTGTTTGGTGAACAAATAGTTGAGTTGTTGTTTGAGAAAATTGCGATTGAATGAATGTCGCTATGAGAAGGGAGATGTTGTCAATGTTGTGATACGGACTAGGCTCAATCAAGGAATTAGGGTGTGTATTCCAGAAAAATTTGGTGATGGTGGATATTGAAGTGTAGATGAATGACTGATGGTGCCAAGGGAAGAAGGGAAAGGGGAGGTAGAAAAAGATAAAAGATAATGCAAGTGACCTGAGTAGCTCGACTTAATACTTCAGAACTGGAGGGTTTGAACAGACTTTGACCGTGAAAAGGGTCATGCCAAACATTTTCTTGTAACATGAACATTGTCGAAACATGGCCGATAGCCAGAAAATAGTAGATCGGGATATATCAGCTGAGATGAAGTATAGGTGCTGCATAAAGAAAAAGTATGCTGTGTTGCTGTTTATTCTGCTTCCATATGTTGGACATTGGTAGGTGTAGATTGCTGTGTGTCCGCGGGTAGTATGTTCCAAGCTTTAAGTAGATCTAGGCCTGCTTCGAGGGTTTTGATTGTGAAGATTCTGCCTTGTTGCTTCACGATTAGCTTCATGGGAAAACCCCATTGATAGCCTATGCCGCTTTGGTGATAGTAATCATTTTTTTTTCCTGTCAAGGAGCGTGGCCTTTGACAGGTCTGCAAATCGTCAGAGATTCGCATGTGATGGTGGGAGCGGAGGTGGGTTTCTGGCTGCCGACATAATTTTTTCTTTAATGTGGTAGAAATGCATGCGTGCCAGAACATCTCTTGGGATAGATGCTGACAGACATGAACCTTCTGAACCTTAGGTAGTTGGTGGGCTCGGTCGATCGCAAGCTCCATGTCAGAGAACGATGGGATGAGGAGTTTAATATATTGTTGTATATAGGGTAGCAGTGCCTCGTTAGTGACGTTTTCAGGGATAGCTCTGAATTTGATGCTGTTACGCCTTGATCGATCTTCCAAATCGGCTAATTTTAGATTGATTTGTTCGATGTCAGAGGAATGGTCTGCATGTGCGTTGATCAGGTCATTATGTGCCGTAATTATATCTCCCATTTTAGCCTCAATATGGAGTAATCTGTATTCTTGTTGCTGAACCACATTAGTGATTTTGGCTAGTGATGACGATATATTGTTATGCAGGGTTTGTCTGAGCGAGGAAAGCATGTTTTTCATGCATATCTCAGTGATGGGCTGATCTGACGCAGGGAATACGTCTATGTCAGGCAGGTCCATGTTAAGCTGAGGTGATGGATGGCTTAGGGCCTGGTAGGATCCTGTTCGGGATCAAGCCACGGCCGAGATTTAGCTGGGCTGCTAGTGTTGGGGGACATAGGAGGTGATAACTCACCAGGGTCCCCTGGATACAGCGGATATTGCAGCCTGGGATCTGTCTGCTGGGCTGTGTGGTCCCTCTCCTGGCTGCCGCCACTTCTCAGATCACTGCACCCGGCGCCATCTTGGATCCCTGCTGTGACAGCAGGGAATTTTTTTTTATTTTACATACTGTCACCCTAGCATTACAGTGTCACCATAGTGATACTGTACTACTTATGGGGGGTGATGAAGATTTTTTTTTTTTTTACACTGATTGCTTTTACACCCATAAAGACTCTAAAATGAATAATCTCCTTCTCTCTGGCTGCATTGTTGCAGCCATTGAGAAATACTGTGTGAGCTGCGATTGGTCACAGGTTGTGAATAGCCTTGTACCATGTGACCTCTGTCATCATTCAGGAAGTGACATCTTGCTTACTACTCTGCATGTGATCACTAATTGGCCAATCAGTGATCACATGATCAGGACCTCGCACAGAGGTCCTGTATGACGATCGGTATTCCACTGTGTCAGGAGGACACAGCAGGCACCAGATCGCGGTGCTGCTCCCAGGGAGCGCGCACAGTCCAAAATGGTGAGCGTCATTTATGAACGGCAACCCGCCCCTGGACTGCCACCGTCAGGTCGTTTATATACAGCGGCCGGACGGCAAGTGGTTAATCAGGTCACATACAGAATACAATTGAAAAGTGCAAAAATATTTTTAACCACTTCAGTACTGGGCACTTTCACCCCCTTCCTGCTCAGGCCAATTTTTAGCTTTTAGCTGTCACACTTTGAATGACAATTGTGCGGTGATGCAACACTGTACCCATTTGACATTTTTGTCATTTTCTTGAGACAGATAGAGCTATCTTTTGGTGGTATTTAAGCCCTTCACGCCTATGGGTAAAACAAATTTTAAAGCCTAAGTAAAATTTTACAACTTTGACATGTTTTAGTAAAACTGTACATATCATCACAACTACTTTGTGCACCCAGGTGAATTATACCTTTTTTTTTCAGGACAAATCGGGCTTGGTGGTAAATGGTAATGGATATCTCCTGATTTTTTTGTTATTAAAGGAAAATGGGGGCCAAAATAGTAAAAAAAATATGTTTTTTTAGCTTTAGCTGTGTGTTTACTACCATAACCTACCACCAAAGAGCAACCCAAAATAAATTTTCCAGCTCTTGACGATTGCAGCGATACCATATATGTGTATGTTATTTGTTGTTTGTACCCATAGTACAGCCCAGAAACAATAGTGTGCATTTTTTTTTGTTTTTGTTTCTTTTTACCTAAAACACACTGACACTAACTGACACCAAATTAAAAATAAAAAACCCTGACATTTGATACTACTGACCTTGATCCAAGCACTAACCCTGGCACGGAACTAGATCAAAGCTTGATCTAGGTATTTTTTATCTTTTAACCACTTCCAGACCGCCCTATAGCAGAAATACTGCTACAGAGTGGCACAGGTGTGCAAAATCACGTATATATACATGATTTTGCATTTCCAGGTAGGGGGCGAGCGCACGCCCTACCCACATCACGATTTGCGTCCACAGCTGTCAATCACCGGGTTCTGGGCAGCAATTACTCGCCGGCGCCTGGTGATTACCGAGGATGTCTGATGGGGAGGAGAACTGTTTTGTTTACTATCAGATTTCCTTCCTGTCACCTCGGGCAAACTGCTTTGGATGGCTGGCACAGCCATCCATCCAAAGTAGTGTTCTTACAGTGAAGCACACAGACACCCTCCCTTAGTAAAAACACACAGCACACAGTTAACCCCTTGATCACCCCTCATGTTAACCCCTTCCTGCCCAGTGCCATTAGTACAGTGTCAGTGCTTTTTTTTAGCACGGATCACTGTATTGTGTCACTGGGGAATGTCTGCTGCAGCCCAGTATTCCCGCTAGTTGCTGACTGCCGCCATTACTAGCAAAAATAAAAAGAATGCCTAGTATATATACCACCATTTGTAAACTCTATAACTTTTACATAAACCAATTACTTTACACGTGTTGGGACTTTTTTTTTTTAGCAAATACATGTAGCAGAATACAGTTTGGCCTAAATTTATAACAAAATTTGATTATTTACATTTTTTTATTGTTTTTTTCTCAAAACTTTGTTTTATAGCGCAAAAAATAAAAACACACAGGTGATCAGATACCACCAAAAGAAAGCTCTATTTGTGAGAAAAAAAGGACGTACGTTTAATTTGGATGCAGCATTGCATGACCCACAGTTGTCAGTTAAAGAAACGCAAAAAATGGCCTGGTCAGGAGGGGGGTAAATCCTCTGTGAACAAGGTAATTTAATATCTAGCTCAGCCCAATTCTGTAATTATTTTTTCTTAAATAATTAACCACTAGCCTACAGGGCACTTATACCCCCTTCCTGCCCAGGCCAATTTCCAGCTTTCAGCGCTGTTGCACTTTGAATGACAATTACGTGGTCATGCAACACTGTACCCATATGAAATTTTTATCATTTTTTTTGAGACAGATAGAGCTTTCTTTTGGTGGTATTTAATCACCTCTGGTATTTATTTTTTCTTAAATAAACCAAAAACCACAGAAAAGTTTGAAAAAAAAAACATCTATTCTTAGTTTTTGTTATAAAATTTAGTAAAGAAGTGATTTTTCTCCTTCACTGATGTGCGCTAATGAGGCTGCACTGATGGGCACTGATAGGCTGCACTGATGGACACTGATAGGCTGCACTGATGGACACTGATGGGCTGCACTGATGGGCACTGATGAGGAGGCACTGGTAGATGGCACTGATGGGCATTGACAGGCATCACTGATGGGCACTGAAAGGCAGCACTCATATATGGCACTGATAGGTGGCACTGATAGGCGGCACTGACTGGCACTGATAGGCGGCATGATGGTGGCACTGACTGGCATTCATAGATGGCACTGATGGGTAACACTGAAAGGCAGCTCAGATGGGCACTGATATGTGACATTGATGTGGCACTGATGGGCACTGGCAGGTGGCATGGATGAGCACTGAGAGCTGGCAATGATGGACACTGACAGGTGGCGCTGCTGGGGCTACACAGATCATCAGGGCAAACTGATCATCAGTGCTCTGATGATCAGTGTACATGTCCCCTCCGAGGAATGCTGTTTACCTGCTCTCCTCTCCTCACTAGCTGTCAGCGTGACAGCTCGTGAGGAGAGAAATGCCGATAACCGGCATTTCCCTGTTTGCATGTGAACAGGTGTGTTTGGACACAGCTGATCACATGACCGAGCCGACATCTTCGGCTCTTTCCGTGCATCGGTGATGCGCTGTGTCTGTGGGACACAGCTCACCGGCGATCGCCGTGCTGCGCGCTCCGGGAGCCACGCATGCGCAGCTATAATGGGAGAACGTCCCAGAACAAGAGAACCACCGTGCGTCCGTCATATTACTATATGGCGGCGGGCGGGAGGCGGTTAAAATATAATAATGTTATTGAATTGTACACTTTAAAGTGATATTAAAGGCAGATCAAAAAAATAGCAAACATGTCACACTTACCTGCTCTGTGCAGTGGTTTTGCACAGAGCAGCCCCAATCCTCCTCTTCTTGCGTCCTCCATTGGCACTCCTGGCCCCTTCCTCCTACTGAGTGCCCCCACAGCAAGCAGCTTGCTAAGGGGGCACCTGAACCACTGCTCCATGTTTCCATTTACACACATAGTGTGGCTTGGCCCCTCCCCCACTCTCTTCTCATTGGCTCACTAGCTGTGATTGAGTGTAATGGGAGTCAAAGGCTCAGACAATGAGGTGGGGAGACACTGCTCTCATGCACATTGCTGGATCAAGATAGGACTGGGGTGGGCTGCATAGAATCCATGAAGGTAAATAACCTTGAGCCTTTCCAAACACTTTAAGTGTTAATGCAAAAAGACAAAACAGATAGAGCTTTACACAACAACAAAATACTATAAGCCCAAATAATCAAGCATTAAGGCAGTGTTTCTCAACTCCAGTCCTCATGGACCCCCGTACAGGTCATGTTTTCAGGATTTCCATTATTTTGCACAGGTGATTTGACCAGTTTCACTGCCTTAGTAATTACCACAGCTGTTTCATCTGAGGGAAATCCTGAAAACATTACCTGTTGGGGGTCCATGAGGACTGGAGTTGAGAAACACTGCATTAAGGGAACAAGGAGTAGCCAGCTTTCATGATATTTAAGTGTATAGATAGCAAAAAAAAAACAAAATTGTATACAAAGTTACAAGTGTTGTAAAAAAAAAAAAGCATTAATATTGCTAATAGTCCTGTATAGAGCAGGTTAACAACCCAATTCTATAATTCTAATGGCAAAAAAATGTTTGAATGTGAAAAATGACTTAACTGCATGTTCAAAGATTATTACATTATCATTTTAAGAGCTGTCAATTACTGCAAAGCTCCTCTGCTTAAAAAACGATTCTATGAAATATGAAAACCCTACTACTGATCATATAACAAGATAAATCCTTGCAAATGTAATTAAAACTGTTTTGAAATTCTTTACCCAGTCCAATAATCAAAAAAAAGAAAAATGTAAGTGTTAAGAAGAATTCATACTACCTATTGATTTGTCCATTTACGTTCTGAGTCATTTGATTGATTAACAAAAATAAATTCCTGCAGGTTTCAAGATTTTATGCTATCTTTGACCCTAAATATCCCCTTTTGTTGTTTGAGTGGTGGTGGGTGGGAAAGCCATTAAGTAATTATGGCTGTAGAGAAACTTGTCCTTCATTGCTTCCTGGGAAATTAGACTGCAGCTATGCAGCAGAACAAATGAGCCTAATCAAAGTCATAATAATAAATAGAAACACTCTTGTTGAACAGGCAATGCACACAACATTTTACATTTCCATAGTGAGTAAACCAGTTAATGTCACTAACACCCAGCATAGTTGGAGTAAGATTTACCAATCAATATTGGTGATTCATTAAAGGAGTAGAGTATGTTCACTTTGCAAGAGCAAAGTAAATAAGGCAAACATTTATTTTTCAAAGAATACCTAATCATATGCAAGAAAATTAAAAAACAAAACATGATTTTTGCTTCCATGTGATCAGATGATTTAATGCAGCACAGCTTCACCTCATCCATAGATCCACTTCATCCAAGTGAAAATCATCAAATAAAATGAAAACAAGCATTGTAGAGTGAACATGTTCTCCTTTGTAATCAACCACACTGAGTCAGGTGTTTTAATTAGTTCAGGTGGTTGCTGACCTGTCCTGCAGGTTGATCTGCCCAACATATAAAAAAAAAAGAAATATACAAATTTGATTTCAAGATCTTTAGGACAAAATTATATTGACTTGTGATTTGGAATGATGAGAACAGATTTCAAAGGACCTCAAAAGACTGTTTGCAAAGCTAATAGTATTTGAAAGGGTTTTGGAGATTTTCTAAAGGAGTCCGCATTCATTCATGAAAGAGAAATCTAATAGATCCCATCATTCACACTAACACCTGGTCGCACTGGGTGCGACTTGGCATGTGATTTCCTTGCCATTGGACTTGCAAATCGTATTCCAAGTAGCACCGTATTACAGCGATCAAATTGGTGCAGTTCCGACTTGGTCAGAGCAGCACCGATTTCTAAAGTAGCACATGCACTAATTTTGGTGCAATTTGCATAGACATCTGTGTTAGGTGTTGTGCAAATTGCACCTGAAATCGACATGTTCCCTGACTTTGAAATTGTGCGACTTCACTGTTAGTCCTAATGCACACTTGGACGTTTTTACAGCTGCTGTGTTTGGCTTTTCATTTTTTTTTTCTACAGATAGTAAACCCCCCAGCATGTTATCCTATGTGTCCATGCATACATAGACTGCAGTCAACGTGTTTTTGCAGAGACGTTTTTGGGCTGAAAAAAAAACCCAGGACTAGTGGGTTTCTACTGGAGTATTTTAGCAGTAAAAATGCTGTAACGCTGAAAAATGTGGCAAAACGCCACAAACCAGCGTTTTTGGACTTTTTTTGACCAAAAAAAAATTTTGGGGGGGAAAAAAAAACTCTAAAAAATGCAAACGTGGGAAACCCTGCAAAACGCCACTAAACACTAATGCAAAAATGCTAGAAAAAGCTGAAAAACTCGCGTTTTTAACATAACTTTACACAGCTAAAGTTACCAGCGTTATCAAAATGTCCAGTGTGCATGAGGACTAAGTCACACGATTTCAAAGTTGGGCTTGATGTGACCGGGGTGTTAACAGCATAGATGAAGGAATCTTCCCTTCTGTCCCTTGTATTCAGAGAGCTGCAGCACCTGCGGCTGTCTGAATTCCCAAACAGTGACTGCATCTGATAGTTTGCAGTCACTGTTCAGCTGGTAAGTTTCCACCCAGCTCCTTTGAATTTTGAACCAGTTTCTCAAACAGTGGTGTTGTGTATGTCTAGCTTTAGAAGACAGTAGAAGGGCATGTTCAGGGGCAGACTGACCATTTGGCAACTCTGGCACTGCCCGAGGGCTCGGGGTCAGTAGGGGGCCCCATGAGATGCCCCTGGTACCTTTTTCATAGGCTTTTTTCAGTTTGGGCAAGGACACAGGGGCCCCATGATCCCCTATTGCCCAGGGGCCCCATGAGTTGTCAGTCCACCACTGGTCATGTAATTTTATTCTTAACATACAGTAGAAAATCTAGGATGACAAAACATAAAGCAGTATTAAGTCCAAAAGCCAAACATTTAGTATATTGCAGCCTACCAATTCTTATATGTGATGGCTGTATTAATATATTACATATGTACAGTATATAGTATATTCTTTCTTCTATTTTTATCTGGTATTCCAGCCAACAAGTCTGATGTTTTCAGAAGTACAGGATCTGAAGGAGAACATATCTGTTTAAATGGATGACAGACCATTTAACACTGGCATGGGTGATACAAGTTATCAGCCTTTATTTATTTATGTAGAATGTTTATCCCAAAGGAAAAAAAACTGTTTGCTGTGTGGGCTGCAGTTTGGCTTCAATTTGTTATTGTGTTTAAATCTGCTGGTATGTTTAACACGCCCCTCCCCCCAAACTGCAATGCTGCTTTCTGCTGTGCCTCCTGTGCTCATTCCTCCAGAGTTGTGCTACACTAATACAAGAGATGTGTTACTGGCCAGATCTCCAGGTGAAAACAGAAGGGAAAAGCCAAAAAATAAAGCTGATGCAGCCACCAATATTATTTTTTTTTTTCCAGTTTTTGGTTTAATACCACTTTAAAGGCATGTCTTTATATTAGTCCTATTCCTGATTATTGTTTAAAACAAATGAAAAAGCTATTAGAAAGCTATGCTCTAAAAACACTAAAAAAAAAAAAACACTACTGGAAGGTTTGTGTACAGATGGGAAAAAAAACGTGGACATTCGAGGGAATTGGTGAAGGGACAATTGGCTGCCTCTGAATGTGGACAGCTTATAGTCATTAATAGATCAATAAATTCCAGGAAATATCAGGAAAAATAGATTCCTATTGTCTAAAGTTGGCCAGAGATGATTCATTTGGACAGATTTTCCCATCCATACATTTGAGGTGGGTGTGGGAATCCCCTGTGCTATTGTATGAGTGTATTGTATACTGATTAGCTGCAACTGCTGACATTTGATTGGCTGCAAGTGCTGATCAATCAAAACATTTCCAATAGTCCCATTTGATAAGAGTTGATGACTAGACTGACTCCTCTTGGATGGGATTGGCCATAGATGGATTGAAATTTGGTCAGTCCCTGCTGAACTGGCTGAAATTTGATTCATCTATGGCCTGCTTAAAACTCAGAAGAAGTTTAGTCATTTAACATGACAATGATTTAAAACATCAAAGTAAATAATTTATAGAGTGGCTCATATAGAAGAAACTTTGTAATATTGTATTAAAAATAAAACAGAAGCACCCTGTAAAAGAATCAGCCTAATACTAACTTTCAGGAAGGCTATATGTTAACTCTTTGCTCTAATGAAATACAATGGGCATCCCTCTGTTGCACTCTTCCAGGTGTGTCAGACAGGGGGTCTCCTGCTGCAGACTGTGGTTCCTTCTGCCACTCTCTATGGGATTGATTTATTAAAAGAAAATAGACTGTTCACTTTGCAAGGGAAGTTGTACTTGCCAAGAAGTTTACCCTGAGCTTTGCACTTTGCAAAGAATACAATGCAATGAAAAAAAGATAGCATTTTGCTTGCACCTAATTGGATGATGGAAGTTAGCTGGATATATAGCTATAATAGCGGGAACTACAATGTTGCTGCATACTTTGGTTTCTCTCACCACCCTCTATGTCACTACAGAACACAATAGTCACTTAAGGACCAGGCCTTTTTCTGACACTCTTTGTTTACAAGTAAAAATCAGTATTTTTGGTTAGA